TGGCGCCAGCAGCTCTCCTGGGGGAGGTTAAGGCTGGGGGGTTTTATTTAAGTTGTGTGCTTATTGCTTAAACCGACTTTTGATGCTGGATCCTTTTTTTTTTTTTTAAGAATCTTGTGGTGGAGCAGCGTATCCGTATTTCACCTTAATGAATAATCTGAATAGTTTTGTTTTATAGCTGTGTGCTTCCTCTTTAGAAGCTTGATCTGAAAAGACCCGGAGAGCAGAAGCGATGGGTCTGTCCGCATCCTCGCCGGCTGATGCAGTGCAGTCACCAGCTGCATCGCAGCAACATCCGATGGCGTCTCCGCCTTCGCAATGCCCTCTGCATCAGAAAAAAACACGTGGTAATTATTCTTGAAGCTTCAGTGAAGCCAGCTCTTAACGTGAAAAACTGATTGAAAAAATTTTTTGGTACAGAAGAAAAATGATTGTTCTAATAAACATGTGAGGTTTTCCCCTTTACCAAAGTAGCTTGCGAGTGGCTATTCACCAAGAGGAGTTTGTCGCTCATGAGAGGGACACGCAGGCTATTTGGTCTGTAGAGAGAGTAGGTGCTTGCTGTGGGGTGCGGTCCGTGGGTCACTCCAAACGGTCACACTTAGCAGGGGTCTCTGTCACATTTAGCAGATCTGTTCCCATCACCAGGTAGACACATAAAAGTGTCAGGCAGGTGCAAAGGCCCTTAGACAGGAGGTAGCTGGGAGCAGGTGCTCGTCACTAGGAAAAAACAGAATCTGGAAAAGAGGGCAGCAGAGGGGTGGGGTGATATGACCGGCTGGGGAAGGAGGACAGCAGCTCTTCTGTTGATAGCATGAACACTTGTTAGATTAACATTGCTGTGGAAATCTTAGCTGCAAACAACTGGCATGTAGGGGCCAGTATGGAGCTGGGAACGAGTGCTCAAGGACTGCATAAGAAGCTTAGAAGCTGCTATGGTGCTGGTTCTAAAATATGCAGAGAAAAGAATTGATTATGGAAGCTTGAAACTTGCCCAGATCAGAAGAACAAGCAAGTACCTGTTTGTATTTATATTAGCATTCAATGAACTCTTGTTTCCCAGTTCCTGTCACATCTTACAGACTTCATTTTGTAGTGATGTATATGCTGTTTTTTTCCTGTGTTACAGGTTGTCCAATGCACATGAAGACTCCTGAACACAGCCCTGAGAATGAAAACCGTGTTCCGGCACATCAAGAAAGAGCATATGAGTATGTAGCATGTCCGGTGAAGTCTGGTGCATCTAAAGTGGAAGATGGCATAGATCCTAGCAATATGGTAACTTTCACTTCGTTCCGATATCTTCTAGAGACTTACTTCCTAATAAAATGCTACCACAATGTAATCAGTGTAACTGTAATTAGTGATGCTGTCTGAACTGGAGACTGGCAATTAATGTAACCTTTTTTTACTCTGGTTTTCCTGATTTTTTTTAATGCAAATACATATATAAAAACATGAAAACATGTTAGACCTTATTTAACATCTCCTTCAGTGTTGTCTCTCTTTGATAAGAAATGGTTTGCCAGTTCATAAATATCTTTAGCTGTTTACTTCTATGTGTTAGTCACATATGTTTTTTTTTTTATATTACGTTAATGGTTTCTAGGTTCTGTGTAATGGTTGTATGGGTAAGTTCTGATGCAGGTCTCTCCTGGGCTTCCTCTGGCTTGCAAAGTGTAGCACTGATTTGAAAGCTGAAGTTTAGGAAAAAGGAATTTCAGTCCTCAGATGACAAATTTGTGCAAAGAGTTCTATTACAACAGCAAATATTAGTGGACTTATTTCAAGGCGGACATTCCTGATGTTTGTACCAACTGATTAATTATTTTGATTTTTCTCAAACACTGTAACGTATAAAAAATTTCCTACTGCAAGAGTTTTTTTGCTATTCAGATGATTATCCTTATTTTCTAGATGCCACCTCCTAACCAGCTGCCATCCCCAGATCAACCATTTCCACTGTCAACTGTTAGAGAAGAATCCTCTATTCCTAGAGCACACTCTGACAAGAAATGGGTCTATCCTTCAGAGCAAATGTTTTGGAATGCTATGCTAAGAAAAGGGTAAATAAACTGTGAATTATCCGATGGAGTCTGTGCGAGCCTGAAATTTATGAAGTAATATATCACTAGCTATTATTCATTGATATTATTTAAGAGTTTGTGGACTCCGTATAGTAAGTGATTAACTTCAATTTTTTTAAAAAATACTCTTTTTCAAAACAATTTTAAAATAAAGGGTAAGCTGATCTGAAAGGGAATGTCAGGTAACTACCACTAGATTAGAAATAAAAATAAAAACTTCTAAAAGTCAGCACCTAGTCATAGGCAAACTTAGTATGACTGCCAGCTTTGAAACTCCATTGGCTTCATGCTAAGCCTGTTAAAATGATACAAAAAGTTCTGTGATTGCAAGAACATCTAAACTGACTTGCCAAAATTGCTAAAAGTGTGAAAATTAAAATGATTTGACAAATGAGTGTTCTGTCTTTACAAAAATTTAGCATGAGTAAGATCTAACTGAAATATAAAATGTCTCCTGTAGCTTAAAAAATTCTTCTGTGCTGCTGTTCCTTCATTCTTTTGTGTTTAGTTGCTTGTCGTTCTCAAGTAGATCGATGCTAACGGCAGTACTATTAAAACAGCAGTAATTCATTGTACTATGTGTCAATATTGTAGTTAAGACCTTGTCATAAACAGTCTATGCTGAACGCCTACATTTTGATCCTGTAAACGCTCAAGTGTGCAACACCACATGCCTGTTGAAAAATAAGCATCTGTAGAGCCATAGTGCAGGGGCTGAGAGATTGAAGGCATTTTTAAGTGTGAGAGAAATGTATCAAATACAGGGACTTCTGTGTATTAAGAACGCAAGTGGGATTTTTCCTGAGCATTTTTATGCTGAGCATCCGTGCTATGGACTTGTTTGTCACAAGTGCATTGTTTGCACTTTCTGATCTAGGTTAAGCTGTTAATTTAGCGAACTAGAATTTGTGGGTCTGTACAACGATAACTTTAATAATTGCACATTTAAATTGAAGATTAAGTAGTTGTCAAGATAATTAAGCAGAAGAGCCAGAAGTTACCAGTCTTGCTTTGTAGCTTTGCGTAAACCCTTAAATCTCTTTATCCAAAAACTTACTGGATGAATTGAGTAAGGTAGAGTAGTTATGCAGTAATACTTGTAAAGTGTTTTCACGTTCTTATTTTTTAGGTGGAGGTGGAAAGATGATGACATAACAAGTGAAGATATGACCAACATTATTAAGATTCACAATCAGAATAATGAGCAAGCTTGGAAGGAAATTTTGAAGTGGGAAGCTCTTCGTGCTGTGTAAGTGCATATGAAATGAAAAGCAAACCTTCTGTTTTAGCTCTTGCTTCTGTAATTGTTTGAAAGTAGAATGTCTTTAGTTTTTCCGAAGTATCCCAGTGCCTATACACCATTAAGTTAGGTTTCTTGTAGCATTACGCGTTTTGATTAATACAAAGGAAGTGAGAAAGATTGTAAGCCTTTTACAATCCAAATCCAAAGCCTTCTAAGCCAGGAATTATTATGTTGACGAAGCTGATCAGCATTTTGGTGGCCTACATAATGTGGATTTGGAAAAGCTGACTTCTTGTTGTATTTATATGCGAACTGTTTGATTACAATTTGTATGTTGTGAACCAGATATAAGGTGTTAACTTACACAGATTGTAAGTGACTGGCATAGGATAGGACAATGTTTCCTGTTCTTCCTTGTTCCTACAAGAGACAGATTGCTTAAATGTACTGCATGTATGTAGAAATTGTTCTCTGAAATTCCATGGCCTTTGTTACACAGTAGCTTGGATTAGGGTTTTCTGTTCTCTAATGGTTTTTTGTTCTTTAATTCCTTAAACTGGTGGATTAGATTTGCTGAGATCTGCTCTGTTGATACTATAACAACGGCGTAGAGTTTATCAAAGGCACTTTACCAGCAGTACGCATTGGTAAAGTAAGAAAGACTCTGGGACTTTAAAACCTTTTAAAAATAGCTGGTTTAGATCACTGTTTTTTTTTTTTTTTTTTTACTGTTGCTATTTCTCCTGTTCGGTTTCTCTATTATTAAAACAAATTATTACAGGGGTTTAAATAATAGAACAAAACTTCGTCTTAGAAGTTAAAAATATTTTCTCTTTTTTAATTATGTGTTTAGGGAATGTCCATGTGGACCAACACTGATGCGATTCGGAGGCAAAGCAAAGGAGTATTCGCCAAGAGCCAGAATACGTTCGTGGATGGGGTATGTGGGCAGGAAAGAAGGACTTTTAGTGAGGGGGAGGAGGAAGAAGGCACATGTCTGAAAGCGTGGCATAGAAGTAATTTTAAGATGTTTTAGAAATGGAATTGCAAGTTATAATTACCAGAGGATATAAGTACTGGTGGTAATCTTATGACAGCATCTGGATAAATACATCTTCTTAGAATATGAGTTCCGCTTCCTCTCCCAGATTTGTAGTATCTATTAAATTAACTACACCGTCTGCTATCTCTCTTTTCAGATATGAGCTTCCTTTTGACAGACATGATTGGATTGTTGACCGATGTGGAAAAGAAGTCCGATACGTTATTGATTATTATGATGGTGGAGCAGTTGATAAGAACTATCAGTTCACTATCTTGGATGTTCGTCCTGCATTTGATTCTTTATCAGCTGTATGGGACAGAATGAAGGTAGCTTGGTGGCGTTGGACTTCATAACTATTCCTGGTGTGTGTAATCAAAAAGTAAAACGTTTCCCTCTTAAACTGAGGATTCGTGGACACTAGAACTTTAACTTAAGTTCACTGCAACTATGATCATCATCGCCACTGTTCTTTGGGGATGAGGAGGGAGGATTGGGAATTGCATTGTTGAATGCACCGATGCTTTATGGCGTTTTGAGTTAAATAATAAAGTTACAGTAGCAAGAACTTGTATCTTAATTTTCTTAAGAGCTATAAAATCTTTTTTATTTTGTCAATCTGTCATATATGTATTGTCACCTTTTTTTTGGTGACAATAAGCTTGCGTTCTTTCATTTCATGACTCCAGTGCTGCACCAAATACACTGGGTTTCTCATTCTGACTGGAGTTATATTTGGTATTATTTCATAAAACAGTAAAAACTGGAAATCTCATAAATGCTTTCACATGGTTACAGTGCTTGTGTACTCAGATGATGAGTAAAAGATAAAGTTTTAGATTGTTACAAACTGCTTATTTTATTAACTATATAAAGCTACGTATTTGCTTTTACATCGGCACTTTACCTGCTCAAATACAGGCTTCCTCAGGAAAAAAATAGGCAAACTTATTCTCTCTGAGAAAATAAGTATGAGTATTTTAAACAATATGTTAAGTTGAAAATGAGGAGAAAATACTTATGCCTCAATTTGCAATTTATCTTTTAGCAGAAGAACTACTAATTGCTAGAAGCACAAAATGAGTGCATCAATTGCATCTACTTTTAAAACAACATTTCTAAGAGGGGGTTGTTTAAATTTATATTTAATGATATTTATTTGAGTGTTTAAAAGTTTTTTTTTTTCTTCAAACGTAAGAAAACTATACTTCTAGTGTACTTACATATTTTTATGTCTTTAATGTGTGTTCCATGTATGCATTCAGGCCAAAATTAAACCTTATTTAAAGAAACTTGCATGCAATACATAAGGCTATTGCATGTTAGCTTCACTAATATACTGCAGTAGTTTTTCAGATGTAACAAGAAATCGCCCAAGGGTATATGTATACATAGTAATGCACATTTCTGTGTAGTGATTATAGTAAGAAATACTACAAATGTTTATGTAACTTGGCTAAAAAGGTATCTGAAGTATCAAAAAATAAGCTCAATTTGAGCAGTTTCTAAGAACAATGCATGCTTATGCTGTGTGACTTAAAGATTTGAGCAATATTGTGCTTAACAAGGAAAACTAACTTTTCTAAAGTCGTTTACTGTAATAGCTTTAAATTTGCATGTTTTAGGAAATTTTGATGCCACATACCCCTAAATTTAAATTATTCCTCCCTTTTGGCATACATTACTCCTGAGAATGAATTCTCCATGCAAAACACTTTGGACTAGAAGGAATAACTGAGTATCACATTGTAGCCTGTCAAGTGGGAATTTCTTCATCAGACTTCAAAACCTTAACTGTAAACCAGCTATGCATTAATTTTATGGAAGTGGTTATGTTTAAATGACATTGGAAGCTGTTTTTCAGGGGGAGAACAAAGTTGCAGTCAAATAACTCATCCCATTTAGGAAAAAATAATCCAGGGAAGCTTCCAGATTTTAAGGTACTAATGCAGATAAATGGTTCCCACTTCAGAGGCAACTGTCCTGCCAGCTAGGAATAAATCTAAACCAGAAGTCCAGAATCCTCAGAAAAGAGCACGCACTTACCCCTCTTGACTTTCCCTATCCCTTTTTGCCTTTTTTTCCGGTGTGATTCATATGTATCTAAATCAAAAATAATTTGGGGCAAAGAAAAATCTCAATTTCAGTTATTAATGTGCAGTTAGGAGATGTGTGTGAGCGTATACTAAGAATTATATCTGATTATGAAAGAGCTACTCCTCTCAGTCCTAATGGTCAAGACTGAGAGGGGGATACTGCTTTGTGTGTTGTATTTATTTATTTATTTATTTATTTATTTCTCTCCTCATTTTATGTATACATTTGGGTAACTTGATAGACACAGAATTCTGCGTCTATCACACAGAATTCTCACAACTAAATATGACACAGAATTCTGCGTCTATCACACAGAATTTCTCACAACTAAATATGGAAAAGGTACACCTATGAAGAGTGCCTCAGAAGCTTCGAAATAACTAGCCTGCCTTACTGATTTCAGAAGTTCGAACTTGGGTGCATTAGGAAAACTGTGATTACTACTGAATCTGATAACAGATGTCACGTGCCGCTTCATGAGTTTGTTGTCCTCTGTTATGTGCCATCTTACATAGGTTCGAAATTGTTCTTTTCAATGCCACTTTTAATGAAATGTGATACTTTGTTATTCAAAAAAAGGAATCAAATAAATACACTTTTCTTAACTTCGCTATTTGCTGATCATATTTCTAGCTTTATTATGAGCCCTTACGTGTGTCACATGAGAATGTTTTTATAGTGTGTTACAACTCATCACGTCTTTTGAGTATGGGATACTCACCTAAATATATGAAGACAGAATCTGAGAACAAGGACGAGACTGGTGGTAGCCAACCAAACCAGCAGATCTCGGAATAAAAGCATGACAACAAATACCTTCACCCTGAGTCTAGCTAACTGTTGAAGAGAGAAATGTAAGGAAAAGAAATTAAAGATAATCTTTGGATTAATAATTACTTTCTACAAGTAGTAGTACTGAAGGAAAGATAAAAGTAAGTTTTCTTTTTTTAGGTTTAGGTTACTAACTGCATGATTTGGGCAAGTCACAGTTTTTGCATGTTTCCTAGGAGTGGTTATAATTCTAATGTGAAACTTGGAAAACAGTGATTTAAACCCTTATTCCTCATCCTTCGAGATGGTGTTTTAATGACTAAGCTATTGTTAAGGCTAGATGAGGGGTAATGCACACACAGACGTGTATCCCTCCTTTTTTCAGTGTAGAAAGGAATGTAAAGTTCATGAACCTCAAGAAGTGATCAGGCCCGTTGAGGGAATTTTAGAGTGATACCAGTCCTGCTGAAACAGAAGTTCAGAACCTGGCAGCTCAAAACAGCTTAACTCTGTGCACATGCAAATTGAAAGTATCGTCCCAGTCATAAAAACATGGCTGCTTTTTACACCAGGATTGTGTTTAGATATCTGAAGTGCACTGGTGTTCTGCTTTATAGTGTCAAAGCCCTGCTTGACCTACTGTGTTTGTTTCTTGTAGTTAAAACAGAGCTCTCCTGGTCTGCAGGTGGAGACAGATACTTAAAGGATATTGCAGTGCTCAGAAATGAGTGTCGGTGACTGTTACATAGCAGAGGGGAAACGGCTCTGGCATAATGCTCCAGCTGCTGTCAGGCCTTAGATCATATACCTGTAGTCTAGAGCAATACCGACCTGCGTTACCTGGAGCATAAGACCATTCTGCATTCAGATACTGCTTTGGCCTCTTGCCATTGCATCCCTTTAGGCAGCTAGTGACTGCCCCGCAGTTAGGGCGCCCACTGCGATGCTGCCTATCTGTGGGATGCCGAACATGCAGCAGCATGCGAGCCTGCTGGAATCTGCGCCTGTGACACCCTCTCAGCTCTGTAATGTTGGCCTGGCTCTCTGCTCTTGCCACTTACGTCCTCTTAGATCCAGCTATCATGAAGAATGCCCCATAACTGGGATGTAATTTGCAGCTTGTCCTTCCGGGATGCCTGGAGTTCCTTGGCCTCTTGGGCCATCTTATGCCATTTTGCCCTGGCACGGCATTAGCTGGCAGTTTAAAGTGTGTGTGTGTGGGGGGGGTGTCTCTTCTGCTACTTTTTTTTTTTTTTTGGAGTAACTTTCTTCTTCCCTTTCAATATATATGCCAACAGCTCTAGCATCAATCTCAGAATTTTCTGGCTAAGCCTAAGAATTTCTGCCCTACTTTGCTGTAGAAGAATAGAGAGTATTGCTGGTAAGAAGGTATTTGTGTCCATTGTTGATTGTTGCTATTTTTATTGCAAAAGCGTTCTAGATTACTATTTGTGAATTACGATGTGAAAGAGCTAGGCTAGTTTAGTGTGAAATGGGACAACATGCTGTTTAATGTTTACATGAGGCATTTACCATCAGGACTTTACTGTGCTCTGTAAAAATGGTTCCAAGTCTAAAATACTCCGATGAGTATTGTTCTACCTCCAAAAGGAGAGTGGCAAAGGATCTCTTAGTGAACTTAAAATGGTCATAAATAATCTATCAATTTATGCTGTCCCTTTTTATTTGTTCTACTCTTCTGTCAAAATAGGCGGGAATCATCTTTTGGTTTTATATACATACAACAGTTCCTCTTTTGGTGGAGGCCTGCAATAGTTTCTCTCCATCTTCAGAAAAGGAATTTTAAGGAGTTACTGCTTCTTGCAGGTAGTTCTGAGGATAGGTAGAGGAGGGCTAGAAGAAACCCTACACAAATCCTAGAAATGCTCCATGTCCCAGAACCTGAGGCCCAGAGCAATGCAGCCTTATGCGTGGCACAAAGGTCCCAGTCTGGCATCCTGCTGCTAGAACATAGGCTGAAAAGGAGAAACCACAGCAAAGTTACATATTACTATAGCTGATCTGCCAAACTTCAAGAGATGGAAAGACAGGTACTAACACTGCTGTAGTTCAGACAGCAGCTGAAAATGAAGCGACTGGTGTATTAAGAAGCACTGCCTGAATCTTGGACTTTCACTACTGTTGTGATTTTTACAGAGGGAAGAAATGGCCCTTGCAGACATGCTACTCCTTTAATTACACTGCCTTCAAATGCTTACTAAATTAATAGGCACTTTAATCCTTTGTCTTCCTTTCCTTATGCCTGGAGGAGAATCCACATGGTAGGGTTCTACAAGGAGGTATATTTGACATGGAGGCTGGTCTTACTATTTGGAGGATTGACTATACTACTCATAATGCTAGCTATGCTTATGCCTTCAGTATCACAACTCGCTCTGCCCACTAGTATCTTCAGTTACATGTGTTTTTTTAAAAAATGCAGCATTGCTAGTTTTCAGTTTTTAGCTGGTATTAAATGATGAATCACTTTCACGTGCATCTTCTTCATGAAAATAATGTCTTGCTAAACTCTTAGAGAAAGAACCTTAAATTCTTTTATGAATGTGACATATCTGTTTGGTTTCACTACTGCTATATCAAGTTGTATAAAAACCTGCGGCCAGGGTACAAGTCTTGGCTCCCAGCCTAAACTTCTTCCTCCTGTAATACATATGGCCTTGAGCATGTGAGAAATGATGTATCATTTACTGCTGGGAACAAGCAGTAATACAATAGTCCCACTTCTTCCCATAGGGGCTACTCACAAGAACACGTGTGCACATTTGCAGCATGTTTGCATACTTGCAGGACTGCAGATTGAATGAATCCAATTTTGAAAGGATAATGTAAATATACTGGAAGTACGGACATAGTTATTAGACCCTACGGTGTGTAGAAAATCTAGAAGAATACATCAATTGTTTCCTTTGTTGACGTTGTTTGGACCATGACCTCTCTTCTAGAACAGAAACTATCACCTAAAGAATCACAGCTGTTTTCAACATATCATGGCAAAAAAGACCCTTCAAGGACTAAATCATGCTTTTGAGAGAAGTACTTATAATTTTAGCAGTTTTCAAATGTGCTGCTGCTTTTGCCTCCAGCTTCTAAGACCATGACTTCATAAACCTCCTGCTTATTCAGATAGCTAATGTTTTAATCGATCATTAGTAGACTTTCAAAATGAGTTTCTATCTGCCAAAAGAATGTGGCTTAGCGAATTGACTTGGAGCAGTTTGATGCATGGAGGACAAATGTAAGTGCCATTAAAAAGCACTGCTAGACCATAGATTTTTGAAAAACTTACTTCTAAAATACTTAAAGGAAAAGTAATTTCTCAGTTTAGAGAAGACCCTTTTAATTGATGAAAACTCATTAATTCCCATTTTCTAAAATCAAAGAGAAAAACATTTTTATGAAAATGTCAAATTTTACCCTAAACCAAACCATTCCCATTTTGGTCAGTTTTTAATTTCCAATGTAAATTCCAATGTAAATTTTAAGTTAAATGAATTTATTCCAAACATATTTTTTAAAAGACTGCTTTGGGCCGAAAACTTTGATGAAAAAGCTGTACCTGAGAATACTGAAGGGAAACATCTTTTCATGCTTTCATGCTTTCAGGGTTTTTTTTTCCACAGTTACAGTGGTTGTTTCAGTTTCAACTTTTTTTTTTTATTTAAAGTTTTGCCTTTTAGCTCATTTGGAGTGATTTTGCAGATTTTCATGTTGCTCTGTGTGGCCATTTTTGGATAAGCCATTTTTGGGAAGTCTTCCACTATTGCAATAACATTTACAGTTGTTCCTACGGAAATAATGGCCTAGTTCCTTAGGTATCTGTAAAAATCAATATTATTTAACTCAATTAAAAATGGCTCTAGGTGGTAAAAATACCACACTGTCTGTATTAAAGCTATCAACATTGTTATAGCAGAAAGGATAGGAGCTGTAGCTGTCCTATAGCAATATTGAAAGATTGGTGTGATTTATAGTACTGTGTATGTACAGGAATTAATACATACAGAATTAGCAGAAATTAATGTTTGCCAAGAAAGGCTGAGAATTAAATTTTGCACATCACCCAATGTCTCTCAGGTAGATATTAAGTGGTAGTGGTGTTTAAGCCAAAATGACATTTTTTTTATACCATACAATAAGCTTTTTCCTGTAGATAACATTGCTGTAGTGCTTGCTGTTATGATACCTAGTCTGAAGCTGTAAAATAGGATATTCCAAACCAGCAAAATTTCTAGGTATAAATTGTAAGTGATGTATTAATAGCCTGGATGGATGAAGATAACTTGTGGTTTCTCATTTTATAGGAAGTTACAAATACAGCATGTTTTTTAGCATATGCTGTATTACTTTGTCCCAATTAACCAACATAAAACTATTATCACGGAGTAAGAGAAAGATGATATTCATTGTTTAAATATTATTCTTAAATGTCTTGCAGTTGCAGTTGGACAGTACGCCAAAAAGCAGCCATATAGCAGCAATGCAGTTTCTTAAAAGAGGAAGCCCTTAGTCATGCAGTTGTCATGCATGAGCAATTAGTCACGTTTCTAATCCAGAAAATACCTATGTACGTGCGTAGCTATGGAGGCAAACAGCCTACTGAGCTTGTGCCTGCGAGGTGACGCTCCCGCATAAGGGTGTTCAGACTACAGCCTTTGCACATTCCTGGACCCAGGCACCTGCTCCTGGAGGTGCATCACTTCCCTAGGGCATCTGTGCCCTGGAAGCAGCAGCCCCTGTTCCAGGTGAAACTCATACTGTGCTGTTAGAGGTGGGCACAAAGTTTAGGGATAAACAGAAAAATTGGGCCTGATCAAATG